AAATGCCAAACAGTCATCAAGGGAAGTCGTAAATCACAATAGCAGTATATAAATAAAAATCCCGAAAATACATTAAAGAATCATTAAAGCTATATCAATTTTTAATAAAGTTTACTAAGAAATTAAATTTAGTAAAGAAAATTTTATTATATATCTGAAATATTATATATAATTTGGGAATTATTTTAGTAATGAATTGATCAGACATTGATCTTCTAATTAGACTCCCATGAAATAACGTCAAGATTAAAGTTGATGATGCCATTTTTCAGCAAAAATGTATGGTAATGTGTATTATCTATTACTTGAAAAATGATCGCACCAAAATTGGAGACGTTATTATTCTGATGAGAGAGTCTCTAATATTGATGATTGGACACAAATAAAGCAATATAGTATAAAATCGAAATAGATATAAATAATTATGCATAATATTAAAACAAAATGAAAAAAGTAAAGTGCGAGACGGGATCTCGTATAGATAGCTGTCGCAGCAATTCCCAATACATTCACCGATCTTGCATTGTCAGCGAATTTTATAATAAAAAAATAAAAGCGCAGCTAAAAATATGATTCTAGAAAAGACGTTATTTTCATTGGAACTTTCCGATTGTCTGTTCATTTTCGTTAAAGAAATTTTTTTTATAATAAAATATTTTATTATATTCTCTACCATTAAAAAGATTACAAGAGATGACATTTTATCTTATTCTATTCTATCTTAGATGTCATAAACACTTTATTTTATATCTTTAAGAATTTATGTTAAAAGATAAATTTATTTATAAATATAGTTATATGTGAAATTTTGCACCTTCCGTCAGCAACCTTTAAGCTTCAGTACAGATTTGTTATTTGAGACGATATAAAAGTATTATTTGAGACGGTATAAAAATCTGAAAAAATTCTTGCATATTTGTAAAAGCTTTAACAACTAATTTTTACTATCATAGAAATCGAATTTTGCTTTACTTATATTTTTTACACGTTTAAATTTATCTATCAAAATTCACAATAAAAATATCGACTGTGCTTTCAAAGTCCAATTTACCTGGCGAAGAATTAAGGTTCCTTAGTACTCATTCCAGCTATATTGAATCGTGACGACGTAAGCGAGAAATGTGTCATAAGCGACACGTTCATTTTTCTTGCATGCTATTTGCAAATAAAGAGAATTTAGATGAAATGAAATAATGAGATCGCTTTAAAACACTTGTAAAAATGGACGAAAACTATCTCCCTTGACAGTCAAATAGTAAAAGGCATGTAAAATGCGTTTACTAGATTTTACAATGCTCATGCGTAGTCTATTCTACACTTCACTTTTCAACTTTTTACTGACTGTCAAGAATGATAAGGAGAGTCTTCGTCCATTTTTACTTCGTCCATTTTTAATGTTTTAAAGCGATCTCAACTTGTTTCATCCAAATTCTCTTTATTCACAAATGGTATGTAAGAAAAATCAACGTGTCATTTCTTGCTTATGGTGTCACGATTCAATATAACTGAAGCGAACTACTCAGGAGCCTTAAGAAATAAATTTGTTAAATGATTTACTTCTAGTATCGAACCAAAGAAGAAAAATGATAGAACATTGAAAATAATGGTAAATTTTTTCTTCAGCCGTATATACTGGCCGAACAGTAACTCCTCAAATCCCAGTATCGAGTGTTCTAATCTTGACGGGAGCAATCGGATGATTGTCATCAAAGAGAATCTGTATGAGCCCTTGGCAGTGGCGATTGACCACGCAGAACAGAAGCTATACTGGATCGATGATGTCGAGGGGATCCATTTCAAGATCGAGCGCAGCAACTTGGACGGCAGCCAGCGAGAATTGTTGGTCCATAAACAGAATCAGCAGCCGGTTTATCTGGCTGTGGATAACGAATTGATATACTGGTCCGATTGGGTATACAGAGCGATCTGGACCATACCGAAAAACACCAAGGCTGGAGATTCCCCGTCCAAGTTCAAATCGTACTTCTCCAAAAGGGACGCTGATCCGGCTGGAATAGTGACGCGCGACAACATCGGTCAGATAGATTGCGCGAAGATCCTATTGACGAAAGAGAAGAAACCGAACCTGTTAGTGCCCGCTTCACGACCGGCGTCCGAGACGTTCAATAATCTAACTACTAGCACGGAAGAATCGGACTTGACCACCGAGAGCTCCAAATACTGCCTAAATGGTCATCTGAACAAAACTACTAATATATGCCGATGCAAAGGAGGGTGAGTACAGGCGTATAAGCAGGTAGTTAAATAGATGTTATTGATATTTTATATTAATATATTTATGATAGAAATAAAGATTATAATATTTTGAATAAAATCGAGCCTGATTATAACTATTTGTCACAATTTAAATGACTTTATATGAAATGATGAGATTTTAGTTTTTCACAAGTATAAACAGTGAGATATAATATATATTATATTTTAATTTAATTTTTAAATATTACATACAAATAATACAAATTTTATAATTAAATAACATAAATTTATATATGTAGATGGATAAAAAATTTTTACAAATAAGTGATGATCCATTAAATTATACACATATATTTCCACGTTTGATAAGCAATTTAAAATTCGCCTAATCTCTGTTCTCACAGATTTACTGGATCCTTTTGCGAAATATCTTTCTGTCACAATTACTGCTTCCATGGTAAATGTATTGTAAACCATCGCGGAGTTCCTGAATGCAAATGCACGGGCACGTTTAGCGGTGACCGCTGTGAGATAAATGTTTGCAATGGCTACTGCCTTTACGACGGCGAGTGTTCCGTCCAAAATGGAAGACCATTTTGTAGCTGTAAATATTCTAAAGGGACCCGGTGCGAAAAACCGAACGACATTGAGGAGATCTGCGCGATTTATTGCGCGAGCGATCACGTCGGATTACCAAGCATCAGCGTAACATCGTGCAGGTACATGCTTCTTAAAAATGGATGTCTTATTTTATATTTTATAATTCTATTTCCAATATTATTTAATAATAAAAAAATAATTGAAAGTTTAAAGATTACAATCGCTATTACGCTACAAAATATTAATATTTTTAATAAGATCGTTGTATTCGTAATAAGGTCGTTTAACAAGATTCAGAAAAAATACATGATTTTAAAAGTAACCGGTATATACATATAAATGTAGTATATCAATATCTCATTATATATCAACAGGTGTACAGATTTCAATCAAACGGCCGAAAGAATTACACTTACCAACAGTTTCCAGAATGGCATTCTGTTACCAATATTCATAGCCTTCACCATTCTATTTCTTCTAATGATCGCCGTACTTAGTTATTATATAAATAAATTACGGAGGCGACCACGAATCAAGAGGCACTATGTGGTCAGTAAAGGCATTACGCCGCTCACATCTCGACCGCAGATACCGGACAATCAGTGCGAAATTACCATAGAGAATTGCTGCAACATGAATATCTGCGAGACTGTGAGTGATATGTCTTCTAAATAACGCCCCACTTGATAACATGCGTCGTGTCAGCATTGCTGATACTAAAGAAACTTAAGACCGAATTTCGCCCATTCTCCTCGCGTTTCACACTTTGTTACGAATGCAAAATCATGACTCTTTGCAATTGCATTTATCGCACTTCTGTAATTATGATAAGTCATTAGAGAAGATACTATATTTGGCTCGATTGACAAGACACGCGATTATACGATTCAAATTCTACGATATTTTAACTTTGAATCTGATTAAAATATCTATTTTTCTCAGAGTTACTACTTTTACTTAGCTTTTTATACTATTAGTTCTTGAGGAAAGTATCAAATTAGTTTGTATATTATAAGTTATGAGCACGAATTTTTGAGTTAATTCTGTCAAAAAGTACTTATTTTTACATACTTTGCGTATCTGCGTTTAAAAAAAAAAGGAAATTTGGAATTGTTATATGCTATTTCTATGCTAATTTCTTTACTGGCAACATTTAAAAATAACCGCTTTCAGAACAGTATTGCGCTAGTATTATTTATCATGACTAATTTTTTTAATTATTTATTATTTAAATAATTTTATTTCACTTTTTATATAAATATATATAGTTATGCAATGCAAGAAATTATCTTGTCGATTAATTTGTATGACATACAGTAGACATTCTAGTTATTATTTATTTGTAATTTACTTGGCTTTATAAGCAATTTTTTATGACGATTTATTATACAACAATTTTTTACTTTATCGCTTTTACATTTCTTTCCTGCTTTAGTTAAAAATTCATATTAAGAGAATAGGAATAAATATATCATTGCTAATATTCTATATATAACTAAAAAAATCATTAAAATATTTTTATAATCTTATTATTTTATTTAATTTTGTAACAATAACTTTGACATGAAAAAATATCGGTATTAATTAATTTATTGTTTTATAACACATTTAAGAGAAGACAAAGTCAAATTATGCTATCTTCTTCACGAATGCGACTGTGTCGCTCGTAGATTTCAATTGCGTGCGCAGTGTCAAAGATCGAATTATATTAAGACTGAATCTGTTTTGTCGTTAAATTCTGATTAAGCAATCGACTAAATTGGAATTATAATTCTCCGTATGGTGTTAATTATACGATAATATTAATGGTTATAGTTTTGTTTTTTTTGCAGCTCTAAAAATACGATGTATATTTGTTACTTGAAATAAACGACGGTTATATTAAGAATAAGACTTTCTACAAAGACATCTTTAAGAATCATTTATAATTATTTGCAAATATATGATTCGATGCATTTGAGAAATAAATCTTCCCCGTGCTAAGCTATTTCTAAATTTATATAAATTTAATTAAATTCATCAACAGGATAATTTCGTTTCTTTTTACAGCCGTGTTTCGAACCGAAATTACGAAATGGTATGTCAAAGAGCAATAATGTGAAAAAGGAAGAGAAGAACTTCTTGTTGGATGATATGGAAGGTAATTCATGCTAGCACATGCTGCTCTTGTCTCGTCGCATGAAATGACGAAAACTCTGCACGAGCTCTGCATCGCGTCGGAGATCACATTCGCGGGACTGTTCCACGTTTATATATAAGACGGCGGCGAATTTTAGTATTGTTGTTAAGTTTAAAAATCTGTGTTGATGGAATGCGCACGAGCGCGCTATATCGACGACGATTTCACTCCAACTTGGGAAAGAAAGCCAAAGGTCTTTTTAGAAAGTCCTATTTATTAGTATATCATACACGTTAGAGCTGTGTTTTAAAACTATTTTTCACTTTAGTAATCATTAAATTTATCATTCGACGATATTAGACATTTGTTTTAGCAATTATAAAACTGAACATTTTTCTAAATGCCTGCCGATCGCAATCCCTCGTGCACAAGCAATACTAAAGTTTTAAATAAAGACGCGAGATGTTATAAAATTTGAAGATATAAATAATTTTTTTTTATTATGTTATTGAATCATTAATTTTATTATATTATTTTTTTATTATATTGTATATTATTATATTTCTCTCAAACATAATATAATTGAATTTGTTTCTAAAACAATATGAAAGAAAGAAAGAGAGAGAGAGAGAGAATTTTAAATTTAAAAATAAAAATATGAAAATT